TAGCTGTAGTTTAGAGCATAATTATCAATTATAGTTAGGCGAAATGGTCTGGTAGACCCTTGTACTTGTATCAGTTTGTATTCTGAACCCTTCTACTTATCCATTTGTCATTTAGACCCTTAAACTCAATAAAACACAATTTATCGAACCCCTCTGACCATTGACCATGCTTACGTGTCTTTAAGATGGCTGAGTTGGCGAAAGTGTGTGACTTCACGCTTCTTAAGGCGAGTGAGTACTATATTTCAGTTTTAAAAATATTAATAAAAGAATAAAATAATACAAAAATTAAAAAATTAATTAAAAAGTCTCCATCTTCTACAGCACACTCCACCTTCATTTGCAGCCATCTACATGCCTCAACTCTTTTTTCTTTTCTTTTCATACTATTGTCATTATCTTTAAAAGATCTTGGCATTGAAACCTCCTTGAGTCCATTGAATCACCGCTAGTGGGAGAGGTCGATGTTAGTGGTGCTCGTCGGAGAAAACTAGTTCGCAGTAGAGTGAGAGAGACGGTGCTAGTCAGTGGAGAATGAGGCGGGTGAGGGTTGGAGGATTTAGTTACGACAGCGAAGAGACTTTCGACTAGATCTGCGGCGGCGGCGATTTAGGTTAGTAGTTATGTGATGGTTGAAGGAGTAGGAAAGGAAAATAGTAGATTTTGTATGTTCTAAGATGGGAATGGGGACTCACCCTCCGAGGAAGAAATGCACCAACAGCTTGATCTCCTCCATAGAAGCGCCACCATTGTCAAAGTTCAGAAGAAGTTGAAGAGCTTATTGCCTAATCTATTTTGGAAATATGTTGGGTTTCTTTTTTAGCTTAAGGAATAAATTTAAATTTTATTGTTTTACTTTTTATTAAATAAAACACAATTGATTTTTTAAAAAAAATAAATAATAAATGATGTGTAATTTTAAATCTGACGTGGATGATGATGTGTCATTTTTGTTGAGAGTTTGAAGTACACGCAGAGCCAAGGGGGTTTAAAATGCTAAGTTACATTGAATTTAAGGGTTCAATTGACAAATAGTTAAGTAGAAGGGTCCAGAATACAAATGCATACAAGTACAAGGGTCCATCAGACCATTTCACCTTATAGTTATAAAGCATAATTATCAATTATCGTTATAGTTTGTCTAATAACGGTTCATAGATACTATTTTGGAGTTGTACATGTTCTACTTGTTCCTTCAATCTAGTTGTGTCGACACATGATACAATTTCGTTGGATACACTCATAACCATTGCTAGTCATGATTTCTGGATATATGAATACAAGTATATTTCTGAACTCATGAATAAAAGTTGATTGTTGATATAGTGACTCCGGACATATAAAAATCCATATAAAAATCTACCTCAAATCTGCACCTAAATCCCTCAAATTCGAGATATAAATTCCTCATGATACACTCAATCTTTTAAAATAATACTAACAATTTTGAATTATAATCAACTTATCAACAATGATGATATCTGGGATATAAAAAGGGAACAAAGCTGATAGCTCAGATTAGAAAAAAACTTAAACATCTATTAGTTCAGGTATAAAACTCAAAAAAATCATTATTTTAATTTTTAGATATTTTTCTTTACCTTCTACTCTGGAAAAAAAATGATCGTGCTCAGAAGATAGAGGTAAAAGAATTGATAAATTTCTGACCTTGATGCTTTAACGGGGCCAAAAGTCACAACAAGAAATCATAGAAACAAAGAAACACTTGAATTTAGTGTGTACTATGTACAAAAGCAACAAAAATAAAAATAAAATTGAAAAGCTCTATTGATATACTTCCTCCTCTTTCGTTAATTGAAAGGGAAACATAATTTGTCTACGAATTTTAAAAAATCCGTGGCTTTATAACTAGAACTATACATAATTAAGTCACAAAAAAACGTATCCTAATATCTAATCGATCTATAATTTACTTATATGTATTAATTATAACATGTTCTACACATGTTAATTATACGATACATGAAATTCAATGTTCTAATTATGAGAAAAAACATCTTCCAAGACTTCATTGACCAAATCATTAAACACTTCAAACTCCAAATCCAAGATAAAGTCTTGTTTTTCCTCTTCAAACTTGTTCCAATTTGCTACTTTTTCCATGTCTTTTATATAGGCATCTCTTTTATCCTCAATTTCCCATTCAAATTCCTCATTGTAATCATCATTGATCCAAGATTTTGCCTCTCTCAATAGCTTTTCATCAATATTAACATTGTTTTGATGTTTTCCACTTGTAATCAATTCATTCCAAAAGAAATCAAAGAGAAGTTGATCATCATCCATATAGTTTACTTCACAATTGATCAACAATTGCTTTGCCTTTTCTTGAATTTCTTCATCTTCTTTTAGTTCTTCTACTCCTTTAGAGTTGATGTTTTCTTCAGCAAGACTCTCAAATTGTTGAATTCTTTGCATAAGCATGCTTTTTCTTTCTGTAATTTAATGAGGAAAAAAAATTGTTAGTTACAATTCATGTGATATTTAAATATAAACATAAAGCAAAGTTATATTCCTACACAAAATTAGTTATGACAAATTAGTACTTTATTTTTTCGAATTACATATATACCTTTATTAGGATTTGTTACAAAAAGTTACCTTTTATTGTCGGTTATATCTTATATATAATTTTTAGCATTTTTAATAAAAGAAAACTTCTACAAAGTAAACATACGCTGTATTTATTACTCATAGACTAATTGTAATTCCATATGAAGTAAATTTTTTAGGCTTTTTTCAGTGTTTAAATAATTGAATTGTTCAAAGTATAAATATTTGAAAAAAATTTAATTTGCCTTTTCATTTATTGAAGTTTTATATTTTCTAGGAAATAAATTACACTACTTACAAAGTTATATTTATGATTTTACAAAGGATTAATAATGAAAAATATGATTTAAATTATGTCATCAAATATTTTTCTTATTATGTGTGTATCAACTCACAAATTCAGTTAATATGGAATAGAGGAAGTATGATATATAGTAACTTTTCCCCATTTAATTTCTATACCATAATATCAAAATAAAGGTAATTAGAAGTAAAATTAAGGTAATTAGAGATTAAAACTTACTCTGGAAAGAGAAGGCCATAATTCCTTCATCATCATCTTCTTGAAATGGAGATTCAAGAATTGAAACTGGGCTATATTGCTCATTCTCATCAAAACACAACTCTTCCTGTTTAATTAAAAAAAATACCATCGTTAAGATCTTTTAATATTTGGAATTTTTTTTTACTATATTTGTTATGATAATGTTAACCTAATTGTATTAAAGTAATAATTAATTCAAGTGTAGTCAAAGTATATTATTGGGACCATGACAGCCTCTAGACAAAACTATGCCAAAATACGACAAAATAGAGATTATTAAATATAGATATTTTATATAGGTATCCAAAGTTTCATGCAAGTAATAAAAAAATCACCTTATTAATAATTGATTTTGTGGTTTCCATGCAATATCCACCGACACTATTCTTTCTACCCAAAAATTCACCATTTTCACCCCACCATGACGGTAAATCCTCCGCAGTAAAATCGCTATCGCACCAACTTGTTCTCTTGCTGCTCGTGGTCGTGGTCGTGATTGTACCGCACCTATACGGTGAATAAGAAGAATCTAACGGCGTAGATTTCTCTTCTAAGTCTCTAAATGATTTCCATCGTAAGATGTCTTTGACTTTGACTTTAACTGAGACATCTTGGTCAACGTTATGTTTTTGACTTTTTTTGTAGTTATTCCTCCTTGATAGTTTTCTTGAAATGCTTCTAGGGAAAATGGAAGGAGATTTCACAGAGGTAAAAGGTAAGAACTTAACAATGTTGATGACCTTGTTAATAGCGGAGATTGTAGCAGTTGCGGCTCTAGATGATCGACTTCTAAGTAATTGATGAGATGAGCCTTTGTTTGACCTAATAATTCTTGAACCATGAATGCATGTTTTAGGGTATGATCCAAAATCATTAGATGAATATGGATCGTCTTGAAGAAGAAATTCTTTAAGTAATTTGGGTCTACGCTCAAGTGATAATCTTGCAAGTGGACTAGGAGATGAAGAAGCCATGGCTAAAACCTATATGTCAAAAAGAGTATTGTTGCTCTCTCTCTCTCTCTCTTTCTTTCTTTCTTTTGTTTTTGGTGGGGTTGAGTTGAAGGGAAGAGTGAAGTTATATGTCGATATATATAATAATTAGAGGAGAGAGAGAAAAAAAGATAAAGAGGTCTCTAGAGCAAGTGATAAGGTCAAGAAATTTTGTTAGGGATAATTTAGAGTATTTAAAATTTAATGGGTAATGTATAAATATACTATTATTTTTTGGAAATAATCTCTTTGTCTACATGTGGTAATGGTAAAGTTTATGTGAATTTCATCTTTTTCAGACTTTACTTATGAAATTTCACTAAATATGTTGTTGTTGTACTACTATGTCATTTTATTTTTATGTGCTTTAATTAGATTAGTTAAATACATAATTTAAGAGAATAAGGGAGATTTTTGAATTTATACATGTATAATATGTCAAAATACTATAAATCTTGTGGTTAATCACTTTTGGCCGGTTAGACTCTCCTTGGTAGAAATATTTTACTTCTTTAATCATTAAAAAGGTACAATGAAATGGTTAAAAATAGAAAAAGACTACGTAATAAGATATACTTCGTGACTATCATATATACTATTACTATCTAGTATACTTTCAAAATATTATGTATATTATTACTAATTAAGAGTTTTCTACGTATCTTACACTTAGATACATATATTTTTGCTATCAGATACACAAAAATAAGGAGAGAGGGAAGCGGAATTCGTATGTATCTCAGATACATGTGAATCACACTAGATACATATATCTGTATGTATTTGGAGTGATTTGCATGTATCTAGGATATCAGACACATGAAAAAGCGGCGAGCCAGATTAGAGGGAGGCGAGCGAGATTTACTACATTGTATCTAGAATAAATTACATTTAAATTTGACCACATGTATCCAAGTGAGAAACATTTTCGTGAATGCATCTGAACTCTGAAAACACCAAAATCTGATAAAGATACGTAATATTACAAACTCTAATAATTAGCTCCTAAGATTTATGCACCACTGACCAGAAACTTAATTAATGTTCAAACACGGATAATGGTAGGAGTAAAAAAAAATCAAGATCGTAAACTTCAATTAATACTCAATATATCATTAGCATAAAACAAAAAACCAAAAAAAAAGAGGTGAGGGAACCGATGCAATGGACGAAGAGAAAGAAGACAAAGCAGAGGTAGAAGCATGGATACTTCTTAACTTAGTAAAAATTTAGGAAGACAGATATAATGTGTATACTATAATGGTTGTTGAGGTATGTCGGAGAAGAGCCAAAAGAAGCCGCGATTTGACTGACATTTTTTGTTAATTATTACCGGCCATTTCTGCGGGGCTGGATTTGTCTGCTACCTTTCCGTCACATGCACATAACCACCGCAACTTCTACCTACGTGCCTTGCACTATATATATATATATATATATATCAAATCTTTAATAATTAATACTAGGGAGTATCAAATCATTAATTAAATGTATATACCTTTCTTCAAAATGGAGAACGAATGCAGTTCTAGTATCTAGCAACAATGATGGATATCTCTATTGGAGTTTGATTATTTTGGATTAACTGGCGTTTGATTATTTTGGATTCGTGTCGATTAAGGCCCAAATATTTCCTATCTAGTATTTTTCCATACCTAAATTTTTTGATTAAGGGAGATGGAGCAACCTATCCACTGTATCACATCCTTTAATGACATGATGAATCAGAATTGAATATAATTTAAAACCTGATATGTGTAAAGAGTAAAATAGAGAATTCAAGTTGTTTAATTTCCTGATGTATTGCCTAATTAAAAGTTTTATACCCACACTTTTTGAGAAAAATATTTAATTAACTTTATGAATACATGTTTGTTTAAATTATTATTTATATATAGAGCTATCTAAATGTATCTAAAATGACTTTGAACATTCAATTTCACTTTAACGTCTCAGTAATTACTTAACAATGATTAGAATTTAGAAGGATACATTTTGGAGAAAAAGAATAATCGCTCAATATTTTTAAATAAAATCAGTTTGTAATACACTTATGAAATCTTTAGGTAGGTTCATAATTGGGTAATGCGAACATACATTGCACAATTTCTATGCATAAATTGAAATCATTTGAATATTGTACTATATAAACATAAGGAGTTTAATCATTGTAGAGAACCTTTAATTTGTCTAAAATTATGTTTTCGGCTTGTTAAGTTAGTACATGACATTGCTTGACATGTTATTAACAAATCTTGCATAATGAATGGAGGATTCTATTCGCTCATACATTAATTAATTTACTACTAAGTATTAATTAATTACTTATAATTAGTTTTAAGTTGTGAAAAATGTGCCACTACAAAACAAAGGTGACTTGTTTGACTTTGTTAACTTTTATGCATGATGTATATTTTGTCGTTTAGCACAAAATTAATTAAAAGAAATAAAAAAAAAACATAACTAGTGGATACTACTAGTTGAGAAAATGTGAAGAAGCATGGAGAGCCTTGCCTTGGTGTTGGATGCAAAAATAGTAAAAAAAAGAAGAGCACGCATGGACTCAAACAATTGTGTACTACTCCAATATATTATTAATTTGCAAAATAAATTGGAGGTGGAAAATATTGATTTTGGCATCAAACTTGTCTCCTTTTACTCCTACAACTACAAGAAATGAAGATTTTACTAACTTGCAAATCTATTTACTAGTATTTTGGTACCTAGTTCTCTGCATCAATTAATTAAGGTATCCAATGTTGCAGTTTTTACCTTACCCCCTACGCTGTTGATTTTTCTATTCTCTCTACAACTGCGTACTACTAAAAACTATGAGTGTGCTTGCTATTGAGGAAAATATTTTCATTATGTAAGGATTAATAGTGTAGAGGTTATTTCATATTAGAATTGATTTATCGTACAAAGAAATTGGTAAATATATATTACTTATTATATGAAGATCATTTTGTTTATTTTATTCCATTTACTATTAGTAGCCTCATTCTTGTTCAATATTCTATTATGCATAAAATGTATTAATTACACATAAAAGAAAAAACATGAACCAAACTAAACAATGTTTTTTTTTCTTGAGACTAATAATATAAGCTAACAATTGAAAGGTGTTTTACTTTTTCTTGTTTGATCCTATACTTGTAATCTTGTATTCAATAGTAATATATATTTTCAACCTCCTTTTTTTTTCTTTTCTTTTTTTGGATGCATGTGTTTATGAGGTTGTAGCTGAATTATAATAATGGTCCATATACCAACAAATTTGAAAGGCTTAAGTCATCTACATACTCTTAAACCGCAAAATTCACTTAGACATCTTAACATGTCCCTTTTTCTATTAGACACTCAAACCTTAAAAAATAAATACCTATCAAACATTTTTCTAAGACCTAGTCAAAAGAGGAAATGCGTGTAATGTGACAAAATAACAAATCAAATAAAGACATGTGGCATTTAAATTTAAAATAATTGTATAAATGAATTTTGAAAATAAAATAAAATCTAAAACTAAAAAGAAAAGAATTTCAACTAAAAAAAATGAAAAATCCCCACCCTGCACCCGACACCACCTCAAACTTTTCCTTTTCTTCTCTCACTAAAATCACCTCTTGTCCATCATTGTTATTTTTCTAAATGGAGATTTTAACATAACTAAGTATGAATTTATTTTCTTCTTTTTTCTCTAAACGTTTTCTTTTATGTTCCTATTTCAAAATTAATAGTATTTTTTTTCTAAAAAATAAAATTTGTTTATTCTCGTTTTGTTTTGATTTCAAATTTACTTTTTGTTTATGTTTCGTTACAAAGAAAGAAGGAGTGTGGATCGAAGGCAGTGTGTGGCCTCCATATTTTCCGGAATGGTGATCTCCATTTTTTCCGACAAAAAAATTTAGATTATGTTTTTCATTTTTTCTAACAAAGGAAATGAGGGTAGTTGACTCCATTTTTTTTAAATTAAATTTAAGCATAAGCTTAGAAGAAGTAAATTTATAAAAAAATAAATGTAAGGTGATAGATTTTGTTGCTATGAATAATTGGTGGCAGAAGGTCTGCAATTTTGAAAGAGAAAGAAGAAAGAAAGATTGTTATTTAAAAAAAAAATAAATGAGAAACAAAAAGGAAAAAATAAAAAAGTGTTGATTAAATGGTTCACGCGCCTAACAAGGTGTGGGTTACACTTTTTGTGCCACATGAGCACAAAGTGTCTAAATGGTTCAAATTCAGAATAGTCAAGGTGTTCAATACATACAAGCCCTAGTTGAGGTGTTTAAGTGAGTTATGCGGACAACCAATTTGAAATGATGAATACTTGAAATTGGTTTTGTATATCCGTCTCATGATAAGACATATAACAAGGTTGTATTCATGAATCCCCCTATACACAAAAGAACAAACATGCTTAATTTATTGGTCAAAATTGGACTTGTCTATATAGCCCGGTGGCCTATTTGCTTCCATATAATAAACTGGATTTTTTTTAAAAGAAAAAACTCTTATTCGATATTTAATATTTATTTGAATACTTAATTAATTTGAATATAAGTCAACAAATCTCATTATGAAAGTAAAACACTTTCCATCAAAGAACTAACGGTATATAATTGGTTTTCACCGATGTGGCGAGATGACCATATATAATGCTAGGTATATATAATATATCCTTCCCAATATCAATGTATATCCATTTATCTCTTGTTTTCCGGGAATATCCATGAAAATTATGTATGATATATACAATATATAACATGATATACATAATATATTTACATTAACGACAATGAACATTGTGCTTTTGAGATGCTAATATACGTGATCTATGACGCTATAATTGCATTTTTAGGGGTGATGTTTTACTCCAAATCTCCTAAAATCTTCCTCAGATTTTATATATTTCACCGTCCATGTGTTTCTAATCAATCCTCACACACACTTACATCCGTGGAATCCAACATCAACAAAACAAAGAGAGATAAAAAAAGAAAGTTAAAAATATGCATTTTTATCCTTTTTTTTTCTCTTTCTCTCTCTTGATTTTTCTTCTTAATGAGTTGAAAATTAATATGTTGTTTTTAGACAT